TGAACTGTGTGGCTGTCTTTGTACCAATACCACACTTTCTTAATTACTGTAGCATTATAGTATGTCTTGAAATCAGGTAGTGTGGGTATTTTTTTGTATTCTTTTCTTTTTGAAAATTGTTTCGGCTACTGTAGGTCCTTTGCTTTTCAGCTTATCAGATTCTACCAGAAGGCTGCTGGGATTTTAATTGAAATTGCATTGAATATGTAGATCAATTTGGGGAGAACTGACATCTTAACACTGAGTCTTCTGACCCACAAACACAGTATGTTCAGTGGTGTGCTGCGGCCAGCTTGCACTGCTATCCAGAGCCTATTGTGTGTGTCTCTTCTCACTTCTGCATTTGGTGACATCACATTGGTAACTTGAAATTGGCTGTGGTGGGAATATTTATGCCACAGAAACTAACAAATACTGAAAACCAGTGCTTTTCCCCTTGAGAGCCAGTTAAACATTTATCACACACCACTGGCTTTCTCTCTCCATTTCCTTAGGTCGTTAATGTCTCTCAGCAAAGTTCTGTAGTTTTCAGTGAACATATCTTTCACACATTTTCTTTAGTTTATCCATAAGTATTTTTTGTTTTTTGACACTATTGTATATGGTATGTTTAAAATTATAATTTCCAATTGTTTGATGCCAATATATAGAAATACAATTGATTTTTATATATTTTTTATCTTAAATCCTACAATGTTGCTAAATTCATTTATTAGTTCTTGTGCCATTTTTATAGATTCTTTGAGATTTTATGCATACACAAGCTTGTCTATAAACAAAGAGCTTTACATATTTTTCATTTCTGTATGCCTTTTACTTCTTTTTCCTTGACTTGTGGTGCTGGCTAGCACCTTCACTACAATGTTGAATAGAAGTAATAAGAGCAGACATGCTTGCTTTTTCCCATACTGGAGGGAAAGTGTTCAGTCTTTAACTATTAAGTGTGATGTTAGCTATAGGTTTTGGTAGCTGCCTTTATTAGACCGAGGAAGTTCCCTTCTGTTTCTAGTTTGCTGAGAGGCTTGTTAATCCTGAACATATGTTGAATTTTGTCAAATACTTTGTCTGCATCTATTGAGATGGTCTTTTAGTCCAATATGGTGAATTACATTGATTTTTTTGAATGTTGAATCAACCTTGCATTCCTGGAATAAACTCCCTTGGCCATGATGTAGTATCTTTTTAATATATTTGATTTGCTAATATTTTGTTAAGGATTTTGTGGGGTATCATGAGAGATACTGGGTTGTAGGGAGGGGGCGTCTGTCTGTCTGTCTGATTTTGATATCGGGGTAATGCTGGCCTCGTAAAATGAGTTGGGAAGTTTTCCTCTTTCTGTTTTCTGGAATAATTTGTGTAGGACTGGTATTATTTTTTCCTTAAATGTTTGGTAGAATTTACCAATAGAGTTGTCACCTGCTCCTTATGTTTGCTTTGTGGGAAGGCTTTTAAATATAATTTTAGTCATTTTTAATACATATAGGACTGTGCAGATAATCTAATTCTTGAGTTACCTTTGGAAGTTTGTTTCTTTCAATGAATTTATCTATTTCATTTATGTTATTAAATTTATATGCATTAGTTTTTCATAATACTCCCTTATTATCCTTTTTTAATGCCTGTCAGAGTTTGTAGTATTACCTGCTATTTCTTTCATGGTATTGGTTAATATTGCAATTTGCTCTCCTGTCTCTCTCACTCTGTCTTTGTTCTTTTTCTCTCTCTTTTGATAAGTCTGGCTAGAAGTTTATCACTTGTTTTGATCTTTCAACGACCAACTTTTGGTTTCATTGATCTCTATAAATCTCAATTTTTCTGTTTGTTTTCTACTCCTATCTTTTTCTTTTTTTTCCTTTTATTTGCTTTGGATTTAGTGTGCTATTCTATTTCTAGTTTCTTAAGTAAAGTGGAATCTTAGATTATTGACTTGAGATCCATCTTGTTTTTTAACGTAGTAAATGTTATAAATTCCCTTCTATGCACTGGTTTAGCTGTGTCCTACAAATTTTGATATTTTGTGCTTTTATTTTTGTTTCACTCAAAATATTTTCTAGTTTCCCTGTGATTTCTAATTTGACCTATACGTTATCTAGAGATGTATTTCTAAACTCTCAAATATTTGAGGATTTTCTAGAGATTTTTTTCTGTTACTAATGTCTAGTTTAATTCTGTTCTGGTAAGAGAACATACTTCGTATAATCTCGGTTCTTTTAAATTTGTTGATATTTATTTTATGGCCTAGAATATGGCCAAAGAATATCTCGGTTAGTGTTCTATATGCACATGAAAAAATGTGCATTCTGCTGTTCTTAGGTGGAGTGTCCTGTGTATATCAGTTAGGTGATGTTGCTTGGTAGTGTTAGTTAAGTCTCCTCTATCCTTACTGATTTTCTCTCAGTCTATCAGTTACTGAGAGATAAGTGCTGAAATCTCCAACTATAATTGTGAATTTGTCTATTTTTTTTTTGTTCATTTCTATTAGTTTTTGTTTATGTATCTTGAAGTTCTATTGCTAGGTACATACACATTTAGAGTTGTTATATCATCTTAATCTTTATTATTATATAGTATCCTTCTTTACCTCTAGTTATATTCTTTTGAAGTGTATTTTGTCTGTCATACATGAGGTTGCCATGGTCAGAGCCAGCTTGATGACAACTAATAACAACATGTTATTTGGTATAAATATAACCACTCTTTCTTTTGAATAGTATTAACTTAGTATTTCTTTTCCCATCCTTTTTCTTTTAATATTCTGTCTTAATACTTAAAATGAGTTTTTGTACGTAGAATAAAGTGGAGTCTTGCTTTTTTTTTAATCTAGTCTTGCAGTTGCTGCCTTTTTATTGATATATTTAGACCTTTGAAATTTAATATAATTTTATGTGGGTGGATTTAAATCTACCATCTTGATAGTTGTTTTTTATTTTCCTCTTTTTTTAAAATATTTTATTGGATTAACTGAATTTTTTTTTTAATTTAATTTTTATCTCCAGAATTGACTTAAGTATATCCTTCAAATAACATTATTATACTACTTCCCATTTAGTTAAGAACTTTACAACAGTATATTTCTATTTTCTCCTGCTCAGATTTTATGCTGTTATCATTTTACTTCTGCTTATATTGTAATGCATTGTTACTGTTTTTGCTTTAGACAGTCATCTTTTAAAGCGATAAAAGTTGATTAAAAATGTCTTTTATGCTTACCCTCATTTTTACCAATTCTAGTGCTCTTCACTTCTTTGTGTAGATCATCTGGTATCATATTCCTTCTGCTTGAAGAACTTCCTTTAATACTGGAACGTCTGCAGGCAATTAATTTTCTTGGTTTTTGTCTGAAACAGTCTGTTTCTCCTTAATTTTTGAAAGATCTTTTGCTGGGTTTAGAATTGTGTCTGTTGTCTTTTGGCTTTTATAATTTCCAACAAGAAACCCGCTCTTTATTCCTGAACACTACTTTATATTTCAATGCTATTATTAAAAAAAAAACAAAAACAAGATGAAGGGATATTTGAGATGTTTCTAGGCTGAAGAGAGACAAATCCTTGGATGGTCACAACTTTGGTAATTTTGGTCCAGTTAAATGTTTGTTCTTCATCAGCACCAGTATACTATAACTCATCACATTTTAATAAACTATATAAGATTAAAAAAACAAAACCAAACCCATTGCCATCGAGTTGATTTCGACTCATAGCCACCCTATAGGACAGAGTAGAACTGCCCCGTAGGGTTTCCAAGGAGCAGCTGGGTGGATTTGAACTGCTGACCTTTTGGTTAGCAGCTGAGCTCTTAACCACTGCGCCACCAGGCTCCATATAAGACTTGTAAGTTTAAATGTAATTGTTTACTCAAATTTGTCTTGTAAATAAAAATGATATATATAATTGAAACTGTGTGAATTCTAAAATTATCTAACTCATACCAGTATATTGTTCAAGATGTAAGAATAGTAATGAATTTAGTTGTTTTAATTTTTAGTATAGAAAGTTGTTGAAAAAGTCTTCCCTTAGGGTAAATATAATTGCCATATTCGCCCACTTATGAAAGAAAAAGAACATTTTAATTCTAACAGAATTATATTGATTTTAGATATAATCAAGTTGACACATTCTTAAGATACTGTTTAAAAATAACCTGTTAATTTGGATGGGCTACTTTAATGATTCATTATTGTATATTGAGCCAGATTAGTAGCTATCATTTATTGAGTACTTAACTTTGTGACAGCCACTGTTTTGTGCTCTTTTTTAATCCTCATAGCAGTCCACTGAGATATAGAGAAGTTAACTAACTCACCTATCATTACATAGTCCGTCTTAAGAACAGAAGCAGCCTGTGTTCTTAACCACTAAGCTATGCTAGCTCCTTCAAAGTAGATTAGGCTGTTTAATGAAAGATCCTCAAGATTTGCATTTGTAGCACAGATCACAGTTGCCTGCTATATTAGTTTCCTAGGACTGCCGTAACAAAGTACCACAAACTGGATGGCTTAAAACAGCAGAAATTTATTCTCTCACAGTTCTGGAGGCTGGAAGTCTGAATTCAGGGTGTTGGCAGGGCCATACTCTCTCTGAAGGTTCTAGGGGAAGTTCCTTCCTTGTCTTATGCAGCTTCTGGTAGCCCAGGTGTTCTTTGGTTTATGGCAGCGTAACTCCAGTCTCTTTACATGGCCGACTTCCCTCTATGTCTGTCTGTGTATCTGTGTTTCTCGCTCTCTTTTTATAAGATGTCAGTCATATTGGTTTAGGGCCCACCCTACTCCAGTATGACCTCATGTTAAGTATAACTGCAAAGCCTCTATTTCCAAATAAGGTCACATTCACAGGTACTGGGAGTTAGGGCTTAAATATATCTTTTTGGAAGACACAAATTAACCCAGAACAAGTGCTATACCAGAGTTAGACCTGTAAAGTCAGAAAACATACTGTCTCAGAGAATAGTGGGGGACAGCGTGCAGTCAAAGGAAATTCTCATTATCTTTCCCTGCCTGACAGTATGAGGTGAAAGCTCCTGTTCCTTCTGCCTGCTTCAGGAATATTTGTAAGCAAATGGCAAAAATGCATGAAGCTATATTTGATCTCCTTCCAGAAGAACAAACACAGGTGAGTAGTAATTCTTAAATCTACTTTCTTATATGTAACATATAATGTGCATGCTGAATTGGAGTCCTTTTAAATGCTTTTGGCACAATTAAGCTTAGTTCATGTTCCAATATGATTGTTAATCAGTTGCTATATTGACTACTAAGGCATAGATGAAAATTTTTAATTTCAAAATTCCCTTTGATCCGACAGGCTAGATAATAGCTTTGCTATATAGTCAGCAATTTTAAGAAGCTGATTTTCTGTTTGTCCATTGCGCATTATAGGTCCCAGATTCACTTATATCAGTAATTACATGATTAATTTAAAACTCAGAGTTGGCATTTATCAATGAGTCGTAAAATATGTTACTCACTGTGAGTGTAGTTCAAATTGGATATGAAAGGAATTGGAGATGGAGTTAATGAGATTGACATGTAAATTAAATCAATGTGCCTTGTCATTAATATTTGTGAGATCAGCATAACTGATCTATTGTTGCTGTTAGTAGCTGACTCATGGCAACCTTATGTATAACAGAATGAAACGCTTGTGCAGTGCTGCACCATTCTCACAATCACTGGTATGTTTGAGCCCGTTGTTTTTTTGTTTGTTTGAGCCCGTTGTTGCAGCAAATGTGTCCATCCATCTCGTGAAGGGTTTCACTCGTTTTCACCGACTCTCTACCAAACATAAAGAGATCTATAGTGGGCAAAAACCAGGAAAAATACTGAGTAGTCTTTGGTACCTCTCACCTCTCACCTCCCTCTCACCTATGACGTATCCACTCTCCGTTCCTACTCTGTCTACCCTACATAAGTATGAACACAAAGTTCTCTTAACTCTTCAGACGCATCCCTACTCCCACCTTCCTCATCTCCCTTTTCTAGCACTTCAAAAGTTCCTGGATTCCTTTTCCCTAGTCTTCTGCACCAGGTGATCTTATTCAAGCTTGATTATAGAATGAGACATTGTTATAATAGGAGCCTATTTGTTATATAAAGAGTCCTGGTGGTGCAGTAGTTAAGCGCTCGGCTACTAACCAAAAGGTCAGCGGTTTGAACCACCAGCCGCTCTGTGGGGGAAAGATGTGGCAATTTGCTTCCGTAAAGATTACAGCCTTGGAAACCCTATGCGGCAGTACTGCTCTGTCCTATAGGGTCGCTATGAGTCAGAATTGACTTGACAGCAGTAGGTATTTGTTGTATGACAAATGAACCTAAAGTTCAGTGGGGTATTTGCTGTTCAGACAGGTTTGTTTATTTAGATCTGTCTCCAGCTGATAGAATGCATGGAAATAGTATTTTGGAGCAGGGAGTAGCTGTCTTGGTGACTCTTGCCTACTCTTGCTCCTGCTGGTCTCCTTTCCCATGCCACTGCAGCCTTCTGTCGTACACTAACTATTGCCATTTTTCTTCATGCTTCCCTACATTTTTATTAATCATTTTGACATCATGATTAAATACCATCCAACTCCTTTGGGGCTTACTGAGTACTGAGGGCAAGACATAAGATAGGGGGTGCCCACTAGGGTCTCTTTTTTTCTTTTCATTTCTTCCTAGTCAAGCCGTCCTTTCCATTCCGTGCATAGGATCCCCCACCTCTGACACTCAGACCTTCTGGGTTGGCCACCCGCATTCTAATACTAGAGCAAGGCTTAGCCAGGTCAGGGAGCTGGGCAGACAAGTACTTCATGTGTTTTTATCTACATCATAATTTAAAGGGTACCCTTGTCAACGCTGAGCAAAAGTTACAGGTTTTATGTCAATATTGCCACTTGAATACCAGTAAATTCCATAAAACTTTTTCATATATATGTAGATATAGAAAAAAAATTATAAATATATGTTATAAATTACACAATGTATAAAGATAAAATTTATGACAATGACAACATAAAGGGAGGGGCAGGAGCAGTATAGGAATATATGTTATAAATATAGAAAATATAAAATATGTTATTCCACAAAATATTTTCCATAAGTTAATTACATGTAATTTTAGATCAGGTATTTTCCAAAGAAATATTGGACCATTGCATTATAATCTTATTTTACTAGTTTAGAAGGATGAAGGTATCTTTCCCTCTACCATTGTGACTTTTCTTTTCTCTATCAAGTTCCTAGTTAATATATTGCAAAATTCTCTATTGCTTTTTATTTTTATTTTTTTACTTTTCATGGTTGATCCCACTTCCATATCCCAGAGGAGTTCTTCCAGGGTACAGAAAGGCAGCAGTAAGTCTTATCACTAAAAGGAATATTGCTGAGAAGGGAAAAAGAGCTTTTATCCAACTGAGGAGAAAAAGTATAGTAAAAAAGGAACTAAATACTTTCAGAGGAGTATTTTAAAAGAATATGCCAAAATATATTTTAAAATATTTTCTCCAAATAGTATCAATAATTCTCAGATACTTACATCTTCTATTTCAGTAGAACTTCTAAGAAAATTAGTTTTATTTCTTTTCCAGATGTTGTTTTTAAGAATTAATGCAAGTTACAAACTACACTTGAAAAAGCAGTTATCTCACTTAAATGTGATCAATGATGGAGGACCTCAAAATGGGTATGTTTTTAACATATTTTTCTATATACTATTCCCGTATCAAATTGTTTTGATAATTGGTTTTTATTCTTAGTGCTGTCCTTGTCTGCTGTATTCATGCCTAGGCCCAAAATTGTGAAATCAGCAACCTTACATTTTCCTTTGTGCTTCCTCCCACCCTCCCACACACCCCCGCCCCCCACTGCCACGGAGATTATATAAAGTGGCTTATAAATGGTCAGTTACTTAACTGACCTTATTTGTCTGTTTTGAGGCTGTGTGGGTTAGTAACGCCTCCTTCGGTACCCACTAGCCTTCCTCTATCCAAACAGGACTCAAAGCCCCACTTAGTAGCTGTGTGACCCTGTGAAAGTGACCTAACCTCTGTGCCTCATGTATAAAATGAGGAGAAAATCTATCTTATTTCCTTCACAGGGTTAGGAAAAGTAATGTATAACCATGTGTATATAGAAGAAACATATAGATACGTGTGTGTGTGTATGTGTATGTATGTATTTTAATGTAAGCTGTTGAACAAATTGTATGTATTACTGATGAAATAGTGTAATATATAAAAGAAAAAACATAGGATTTGGAGTCAGAAAACTTGGGTTAAGTCCTAGTTCTGCCACTTATTAGTTGTCTAATTTTGGACAAATCAGTTACCCTCTGTGAGCCTTAATTTTCTTAACTTTAAAAATAGAGATGACAATAAAAGTGCCTCATAGGGCTTTTGTGAAGAGCAACATAGGTAAAGATATGAGGAAAAGATTTTACAATATGTAAAGCACTGATCATTTAGCTACACCTTAACGTGATGTCCCTAGTACATTACCTCCCACAGCTTTTAGGAATAAAAATCTCCCCCCCCCGCCCCCGTTAAAGGAATTTTAGGTTTAAATTTCAAACTTACAGGAACATATGAAAAAAAGGTATTTTGGAGTCAGAAGTTGACTCTACCAATAGAAAAGAATTACACTGAATTGATTTTGCAAGAAAGTATCTGGAAAGTTCAGACTGCTGTATCTGTCAGCCAGGCAGAATTTAGGAGTTTTATGCAAGATTGCGATTTTTCCCTTCCTTGTTTATCACGTGGTTCTTCTTTTTATAAGAATTATTTGTTATTTTCAAAAATTTCAAAGCCATAGGAAAGTTAAAAGAACAGTACGGTGAACACAGAATACCTCTCACCTAGATGCACCAGCTGTTAAAATTTTACCACCCATGGCTCCCCCACCCACACACTAAAGTCACATGAAATTTAACTCCTTAATACTTTAGCTTGCATGTCTAAAAACAAGGACCTTCTCCCATACAACCATAACACCATAACCACTCCTAAGAAAATCAACATTAATTTAATAGCATCATACCACATAATCACATATTTCCAACACCACCATATGGATGACACCGTGTAAACCTGTCAGGTGATTCACATGTACCACACAATTGGTACCTGCTACTGAACTTTTTTTTCCTGAAAAGATAATAGCATATTAAGAACTTGGAACCTCTTGAAACAGATGTATACTGCACCCTAAAGAGACTGTTAAGAAAAACTACTGATAATTCTAAGCCCTGCCCCCCTCATATCCTTTTACTTCATTCTCATAGCTAAATCTGGGTTGGTTGATTGTTTGTCTCAGACCAGTATTTCCAAAGCATCCAAACTAACTCATTACCAGTTTTTTTTTTTTTTGTTAAACTATTTGAGGATCAGTCTTATCTTACAGATTCTCACTGTCACGTATTTATAGAAGCTAATTCTGTGTAAGTCCATTCATCTCTTTTTAATGATCTCATGAAAGACAGGATTCTTTGGAATCTTAACCTTTGATCTTAGCCAGGGGCATAATGAACTACCTGCTTAAAAGGAATTTTTGTTCCTGAAATGGCTCTAAAAATGTATCTTTTCTTTCTAATGTGATTTTGTTTTCCTCCGTTTTAAGATACCTTTAAAATACAGAGACATACAGAGAACAGTAAAATATTTGTATTCCTGCTACCCAGAAATGATTAACATTTGTTGCTTTCACTTGAAAAAAAATTTATATATAAGAAATGACATTCCAGATGAAGCAAAGTACTCCTTGACCCATCTCCAGTTCCACCTTCCCCCAACCATTTGGCCACATTTTTAGCGAACTTGGTCTGTATCCTATCAGTCCTCTCATCTATCTCTATATCTATGAAAATTATGTGGTGCTATTCTGTAAATTTAATTTACGGGTGTTATACTGTACATATGCAGCTTGTTTCTTTTTCCCATTCAACATTGTTACTGATTTATCCCTGTAGAAATACGTAAGTAGTCCAATTTTTTGACTGCTGTGTAATAATCCATTGCATGAATCTTGATGTTTAAATTATCCATTTCCCCTAGTGATAGATTTCTAGGTTGTTGCTTTTTCCCATTACAGCCATGCCACAGTGAAGATCCTTGCACACGTACTGGTGTGACCGTTTCTGAGGGTATGTAGCTATAAGTGGATTAGAGTACATGTACGTTTTTACTCTACTAGGTATTCCCAGAATGTTCTCCCATTGACTACAACAGCTTTACACTCTCACCAGTAGTTTGTGGGTGTTTGTTCCCTCACATCTTGCCAATATTTGTTGCTGTTAGATTTCTGAATTGTTGCCGGTCTGACGGGGAACAGCGCTGTCTTGTTTTGGTTCGTATTTTCCTGATGTTATGTTTATTGGTGATTCAGGTCCCCTCATCTCAGATTTGCCTGTTCATATTCTTTGCTCATTTTTCTCTTGGGTATTTCTGTCTTTTTGTTGTTGTTTTTTTATATGCTCTCATACTAGTCCTTTGTTGGTTACATATGTTACAGACACTTTTATTTTTCTCTTTCATCAAACAGAATTTTACACATTTGGTGGAAAGCATATATTTTGTATACACTTTCTTGTGTAGACTATAAATAACTGCTGAGTAAACATAGCTACTGATAATATAAAAATAGAGATTTATGTTAATTTGATGTCCCATTCTTACATGGGGACCTCGCCTTAGAACAGTTTTGTTGTTTACTGAACCATTGCTATCAGTTTCAGTTGATGTGCTTACTGACCATCTTATTACAAGAAGTATGAACATTTAGAAACTTTTTATAAATTTTTAAATTAGATGAGTTTCCAGTGAAAAAATGCGGTTCTTACTCAATTCTGCCATGTAATGAAGGTTGAAATGTCAAATACTAAGTCCAAGGGTTATTTATAAATTAGACTACAGTGCCAGTAGTAAGGGTGCTTTCACCACCTTTGCCCCCATGTAGTCCAGCAGTCCAGAACTTGTTCATTCAAACAGTAAAACTAAGCTGAGTTTCCTCTTCTCTTTTACAAACCTATATCAAGAGCTCCTACGCATGGGCCCCATGTTTCAAAATGGACATCTAATCGGGCTTTTTTTCTTTTTTTTAATATGGAGCCTTTGCATTTCTGTTATCTGAGGGGTGTATAGAATACTTAAAAGTTTAAATCAGATTGAGATCAGACACCTGAAAAACTACATTCATCTTCATAGGAATGTAAAATATTAAGATACCAGGTTAGTAAAACTAAATTAAAAGCAGGAGAAGAAACATATTCTTACTCTTTTAGAAATCAAAAGTGCCTAATCACTCGTCCCTCCTGCCTCTTGGAAATTACTCATGGAAAGATAGGACTAAGATACTCTGCCCATTTTGGTACTTCATGAAGATTGGGCAAAACTTGGCGTCCTGCTCTTTCCTGGCTCAGTAGAGCCTGCCGCCCAGCTGGAGGTGTAACAGCTGAGGACTGCTGAGTGAGCGAGAGCTCTGCCAGCACATACCCGCACTCCCCATCCACGCCAGGCCCCACACCAGCAGCCATCTTTGCCTCAACTTCTCCATTTGTAAAATGGGGTGATAATAGTATCTATCTTCCAGGATTATTCTAAGAATAAAATGAAATACTGTAAGTGAAAGCACTTTAAAAGCTGTAAGGTAGTATCTAAATGCTGATTATTACATATTTTCTTCTGCTGCTGTGAAGGCTATTTCCAGATTGGCCAGCAAGGCATTATATAGATTTGGAGTTATGAAATTTAGATCATTTATCTCCTCCTGGAGAATCAGAATTGAGAGTGGTTTAGAGAGACGTTTTTCCTAGCAGTTCATTCAGCTAAATCATCACTATGGCCAGACTGAAGAAAGACTGGACTAAGTAACAACATTCTTTATTTCAGACGTACCCAGCTCATTGATTTCTGAAGTGATACTTCCCTTGTGGGTTATTTGTGTCGGTAGCAGTTGCTCTAGGGTCAGGACAGGCGAGGTAACAGCCTCTTTTGTTAGTCGGATAGCCTGTGTGTTCTGGGCCAGGTACCAGGCCAAGAACTTTGTGTGCATTTTCTTATTTCTAACCTTTATCGTCATTTTAGAAATGAGGAAACTGAGAACAAAGCTGTCAGGTAACTTGCCTGAGATGACACAGAAGTAGCAGAGCAGGAATCCGATGCAGGCAGTCTGACTATAGAGCTTATGCTTTTGCTCCCTTAGGCTGCCAGTACTTCCTGAATGCTATTTTAAAGAAAAAGATAAAATAGTAAATGGTAAAGAAGTAAAAGGTTAAAAAAGGAGGAAAAGAGATTAAATTCACAGAAAAATATATGAAAATTAGGAAGTTCAAGAAACTAGCTCCCACATAATGGGACTAAGCAGTGTCCTTTATGCTGAGGTTGAGGTGGCTCGAGGGAGTAACTTGAACCGCTCCATCTGGGTGTGTGGAGGCCACTGCACGTGGCCACACTGAGCTGGGGCTGGGTTGACTCTCGTGTCCCTGTCACAGAGCCTGGGAGCCCAGTGTGCACCACTGGACACTTAATATCTATTGAATGCCGTTTCTGGCTCACCACCAAGAGAACATCTTTGGCCTAGACTAGAATTTCTTTTTAAAAGCATTTGACCTTATGATTTAAAAAAGATAATCATTAGAAGATTGTCGATTATTAGAATATTAAGTCATGGTTAAAAATGTATCATTCAGTATTCATTTGAATTTCAGACTGTGCTTCTATATAAAAGGAGGAAGAGCTTCATTTATTCTACCAACATTTATTGCACACAGTTTGCAAGGCAAGGGCACCTCAAGCAACTATCCCCTAAACCAACATGAAATGACTATAGATAAGTTACATTGGCAAAGACCAAGTTGAAAGCTGCACATTTTAGAGGGTAGTAGAACTTTATTCATCTTTTCACAAGGAAAAGTCCCACTGTGCACTGATAAGTTATTAGGAAATTCAAACTCATGATTTCACAATCACATTTTAATTGCCCATTTATTAAGTGCAAAAATGCGTTTTTCAAATGAACTACATTAGACGTTATCACTCATTTGCCCTAAGAACCTGATTGCCACACTGGGAAATAACCACGCATACCCTGGTGGCGTAGTGGTTAAGAGTTCAGCTGCTAACTAAAAAGTCGGCAGTTCTAATCCACCAGGCGCTCCTTGGAAACAGTATGGGGCAGTTCTACTCTGTCCTTTAGGGTCGCTGTGAGCGGTAACTGACTCAATGGCAATGGGGTTTTTTTAGAGATCATTCCCTGTCCTGCCTCTGAAGTATCTTATGGATTGGGGCTGGGGAGCATTATTACCCTGCAGGCATTAATTTAAAAAATGAGCTTTCCTTTCACAAGCAATTAAAATTCTGCCTTCCATGTATTAAACTCCTCTCTGTATTTTTTTACCCTGTAACAATTCATTTTCCAAATTTTTTTTGCTGAGCCTCAGAATATACCTACGTAAAAAAATGTGAGATTGCAGTTGAATAAAGTAGTAACATCAAATTAGCATTTATATGACACTTTTAAAAAGGCATGTTTCATCGTTTTAGTGAATCAAAGGATAAATAATTCCTAATTATTCTTAAATAGTTCAGTCTAAAGGAAATATTCTTTCAGGTGCAGGCAGCTCAGTACTCAAGTTGTTTTTTTCCTTTTTCATCAAGTGTTGCTTATTGATTATCAGTGTCAAGCTTTTATAAGTCCCAGCCTTCGTTTAACTCCGTAGGATGGGGCTCAGGAAACCTCTGCCCTGATTTCACTGTTTTCATCACATACATATACTCTCTAGTCTAGTGACAGTCAGTCAGAAAACATTTTAACTTGTCATCCTCTCTGTATTTGAATTCATACTTTTAAAATAAATCTGATTTAATCATTTCATTGGGAAAAATTTTTTATGAAACTGACTCAAACATGCATTGGTTTGCTACTTGCTCTAACTTCAATTGTTACAGTAGATAAAGCATTACATTAACTATATGATAGTAGGAATTGTGTTAAGGGAAATTCCGCTGACATGTGACCTTTACGAAATCAGAAATTTAAATAATATTCCAGGAGCTAGGATAAGACTCTGTGTGAACACTGCTACTTTTTAAATTATCTAATAGGTGTGAGACTTAAAAATACCTTTCTGTCCACTCTTCAGGTTGGTCACAGCAGATGTAGCTTTTTACACTGGAAATCTTCAAGCCTTGAAAGGCCTTAAAGATTTGGACCTAAATATGGCCGAGATCTGGGAACAGAAGAGGTGATGACTGACATATTGGAAAACTGGGTAGTTCATCCGACCATGGGATATATGTTTATGAAGAAAATCTGGATGCCTGTGATTCGAGAACTGAACCTGGAACCCAAAGTGAACTGGGGTAGGGGTAGGGGAAAGGAAGTATCAGTGTTAGGAAACTGGATTCAGTGGGATCTACAGGGAATGCCATTTGTGTGCATCCTGCAGTGAGGAGTAACTGATCAGGTGTCTCTAACATTTTTTCATTCTCTCCGGAAACAGACTCAGGTTTCTTTGGACCAAATCCAAAAGAACACATAGCTGTAACACAGCTGTAGTTGACTAGAATGCTCTGTATACTTTATATTAAAAAAAATGCTTTGCATTTCTTCCAGTGCAATGAAATTCATATGGTGTCCCACCTTATTTAATGATGGTACAATTTCAAATATTAAAATCTTAGTCAACCTCTGTAGAAAGTTTTCTCTATGAAAGTAAAGCTGTTTGAAAAATTATTTTTTTACAGATCTTTCTATAAAAAATAAACATCTTTTGATTGCTTTGATTTAGGAATTCGGTTTTTGTTTTACTGACCAATGTCAAGTTCCAGGCTTTGTGTGCCACACATCACATCTTTGTACCACCACATGTCGGCTGGGGAAAGCCTTCCAGAACAGTCTCAATACTTGAAAGACTGATTGCCAGTAAATAATTCAAGAATAAGATATTGGCATTTATTTATGCAACTACTAATTCAAATACTTTTCAGAAATGGTATACAAAAGGCTACAGTTTAACAGCTGTATTTTTATAAAAGTATCTATGAAGGTTTTTTTCTTTTGCCTTTTTCTTTCTAGCAGAGGTAAGAATACATATTCACATAATCTGCCTTCTTACGAGTTCGTATGAAGTATGGCCCCCTTGGGTTCTGGTTTTTAAGTTATTTTTGATGTGTATATGAACAGACACCAGGGAGAAACAGAGCTTTTAAAATATAGGCTGCTGTGTTGGGGCCAGAATTACAAGGTGATGAGTTAAGTTGTTTAAAGACTTTTATAATAGCTACCTTCAAAATCAGAATCAGCAGCACTCTACAAACGAAAGTGCCTGTGCCTCACCTCACGCCTCCCCGTCAGAGGCGTGCCTAACTTTGTGGTGATTCTGTACCATGAAACAGTCTTATTTTGTGCTTGTCACTTTCCTAAAAGGAAAGCCTGTTTTTGTTCCTTTATCATTACCAAGGTATGTCATTGGTTCTTAAACTGTCTGTCTAAAATAAAGCTATAAAAAATTACCAGACTTTTTAAAAGACAACTTCTTTTAATAGTATATAGTGAACTTGAAAATGAACAAGCACAGAGAAATTGGGACACGTGACTGATTCCCGGAGAAAAGGCACAACTAAACTACCAGACCTGATTGGAAAGGTTTTTACAATTTTTCAGTGACAACAAGCAAGCTTCAAGGAAAGGGCACTTTTAAAGTAATCCCCCCAGCCCACTATACTAGAGAACAAGGATGCCTTCCCCACCTCCTCCAGCTGGGAAAAGAAACACCACTTTGTTTCAGTAAATAGAGAGTCTGTGGAAAGCATGGCAAGCATCCCAGCTTTAGAACAAGATGAGGGGTACTAAATACCTTCATTCAAGTTTAACGCCTCTAAAAATAATGATGTGGTGAAGATTCTTAGAAATGCAAAAATTGGGTTTGCTAGGTGACTGACCAGTGAGTATGTAAATATTCCAAGAACAGATCTTCCAACTGATGATATAGTAACTGTTCAGCAAGAGTAAACCGTTTTATTTTACCATTTCATAAACTTAATCATTGAAAAGTGTAAGTGTACACATGTATTGCTTCACAGCTTTATTTTTGAAATAACAAGCAATTCAAAGTGACCATCATTGAGGCCTCTGTTAAGATCTTCCAGCAGAGCTGCCCCGGTTTTAAGATTAAACAATATTGCACTTTAATTAACTTTCAGAATTCTCTTCAAAGAAGAAAAGTATTGCTTCCATCTGTGCTTTTCTTAGACTAAAAGCATCCTGCAAAAAACTCTACTTTAAAAATTAATTCTGCAGGGTACAGTAACATAGTAAAGTACCTGCCTATTTTAGAGTCCTAGAGAACATTTCATCATTGTTAAGAAACTATGTAGCACATAATTAGTATAAAGTGTACACAGTATTTTTCATTTCAGTGGTCCAAGATGCGAAGGTTTCCGGATACAATCTTGTTCTCTAATACTGCTCCAGGTGGGATGTCAATTCTGTCGCCATGATTTGCGATGATGATAACCGTTCCCTAAGTGACAGGGAAAACAAAAAGCAAAAGCGACTTGACACTGAAATGCTGTTATTTTACAATTACCAAGTTTATGCAGAACTCCTTTTACAATGGAGTAACTGTATTTATAAACAATCTTAAATATGGGAAACAAACAACATGTTAAGGAAAATTGTTAATGTGTCCTTATCTGACAATAGTTCTAATCCCCTGCCTTCTTGTGGAGGTGTAAGTACCAAGAGTGGGACGCAGACCCAATGCCAAAGCATAACTCGCCCTCCTGAAGGCCTACTGTAAGGCTCCCAGCATTATTCAAACGTCGTACAGAAACTAAAAGGTGCTCGGTTTACATTTACCTATCAGTTTTTTTTTTTTTTTTTTAAAGAACAGTTTACTGATACGTTTTTTTATGTCTTAGGTGAGACTGTTTAGGTTAGGCAGTATCAGCAATAAAGTTCAATAAATGTATTTTCTTCCTTTGTTTTTTGCATTTAGTACATTCAAGCAGCTTTAATGGGAAGGACATATGAAATCTAGGTTTGGCATTTTAGAAATACTACTTGATTAGGAAAAATGTTGTATCTTTGGTTCTTAGCTTTAATACTTCTACCCATAGTCCTTCCTATTTCTTATGCTAGGCTGGACTGATACTCACCAAAGTATCCAAGTACTACAGTAATGTGAACAAACATCTTTATACTGTTAACAACAGATGAACAGGAATGGATTAAATTCAGTATAAGTGAGGTGATCATTTTTCTACTTTATTTCAGATTCAGATTCAGTCATTTTAGTGACCTAATGCTAATTTAATAGCAATCCTACTTTTAACACTGTCACATTCAATAAAACAGTTACCAGTTCAGGTATTAAGTAGTGCTTATTTCCATTTGAATGCTACTCTTCCACAAAATCCCAACTGAGTGTACTTTAACTAGGTTGTGTAATCTACAGAAGACAGTGTTAATACTAAACACCACAGGAACCTAGTTTATGTCAGTATCCGTTCATTTTTTAAATGTATCTATGTTGTATATACATCTGGTAGAGATTAAGAGGTATTCCTTAAAATAAAGGTAAATTTAGGTCTAGAAAATGAAACCTGTTTTGTAAAGCTATAAAGAACTATAATTTTCCTAAGAGCATACCTTTAATGAAACATTCTTGCCAAATGTCACATCTCCTGAAACTGTGAGGTGATCCAATTCAAGCATATCTGGTATACTTTCAAATCTCCTTAGATAATCTTGAACCTTAAAGAAAAACAGAAACATATAAATTGTTTCAAAATGGGTTACCAGAAAAACAAGGGTGTATTAACAGGGTAGCTTACCTGAACTGTAAAAAATACAGGAAGAACATGTTTATTACACACTCAATGTATGTTGGATCCCATGCATGAGAGACCAGGAGATATGAACACTGTCCCTATAGCCAAGCAATTTACAATCTAATTGAGCAGATCAGACATTAAAAAAAAAAAAAAAGCAAACAGCCAACATGCTAGGAAACTGGTGAGCAGTCCAGATACCCTGGATTTAGCTGGATAAAGGAGGGATAGATCATCATGGCTTGAGGCAATAGAGAAGGCAAGCTAGACTGCAACTGGGCTTTATGGGTAGGATTCAGAGGAAGTGGAGCACATTTCAGGAGAAGCAAAAGCACAAACTATCAAATTTTCACTCTGCCTCACAGATCCCTAGATTTACAAGAACTAGAGATTGTTCTCTATGGGCCTTATTTCTTATTTCACTAAGAAAAATAGAAGCAATCAAAAAGCTCCCACTGGCTTCCACCACCACCCACTTGGAGGAGTGTGGGAAGAGTGAAGTAGAAAGGGAGGGTGAGGCTAGGTGGAAAAACGGTGGGCAATCCCATCTCAGGATGAGGGAAGGATGGCAGGTCCTTGTGTCACCAGTATTTTTCCCAGCCCAACCAAGCTGATGAAGAAGGCACCATAAAATGGGAAGACTCCTAATATCTCTGGTACTATCCTGAAAACCCCAGCCACCCACAGGAGCCAGAATCACCCCCCATCAACATGTAAGCCAGTACACACATCCACACCAGGTGGCCCTAAACCACAACCAGGACCAGAACAGACTCTACAGACCAGCCACAAAGGTTCACCCCGTCACTCTGTTAACCTTACAACAGTTTACACGAGTACATTTTTTGGAGTCCACTTACCATGTCAGGGTGGGGTTTACTATACTTGCTATTCCCCCGTCTGGAACACTCGTCACCCCAGATACCTGCATGGCGCCCTCAGTCAAATCCTCAGTGAGTCCATCTCCGGCCACCTGATGTAAAATTACACCCCCACCACCCCCACCCATGCGTGCCCTAGTCCCCACCCCTGCTTTACTTTTCTCCCTAGTATTTTCTGCCCCCTGGCATACTATACATAATCTACCTATTATCATCCTTCCCTGACTAGGATATCAGTTCCATGAAGAAAGTCTGTTTTGTTTACTGCTAACTCCCAACACCTAGAACACTGCCTAGCCCATGGTAGAGGCTCAATAAATTTTCGTTAAACCAGAATTAACACTCTCCCACTGGTGAAGGCAGTATAGGTCTTGGAAGAGATGTAAGATAAAACATTCCAAAATTTAAAATTCTTTTCTACTGTCTGTAGCAATCATGTTTGAAAAGCGAGGCATGTCTTTATCTTCTATGGTTGATTCCCGTTAGAAGACATCAAAGATGGGGGAGTACAACAGATAGCTGTGAAGACTGTAATCAGGTAGGCGCCAATCCACATGTATAGTCTATCTTCATAATACACATTTAAGAAATACACATTCATGTGTACTTCATATCCTTGTAATTAAAACATTTAAGAAATAGGTACCTTTGTAAAAGAACTGCCTAATTTAACCAAGGGCACTGTAGGAAACTCCCGCTTTTCACTCATTGTCAAGGATCCGGCATTAAGGCTGTAGAGGTTTGACATCACAAGCAAGAGATCCGATGTGGTTTTGACAGGCAGAAAACGGCTCCTAGGAACATTAATACCTAGAGAATTCTCAAAACTTTTTACGGCAGCCCCTACTGCAGTTTCTAACTGAATGACATTCAGGCCTCCATCCAAAGTCTGTAAGAAAACAGGGGGAAACAGGTTTTAGGCACCTACAACTCATTACCGTGTGGGCTAGTTAATATGTGGAAAGTGGTTTCAGGGATCCACTCAAGGAAACAGCATTTCCAGAAATGACATTTACTGAGCACCTTCCATATGCCAGGCTCTTACACATCTGTGATCTTTTTTCA